ACTATTGTCTCTGGCATCCTGTTTGTCCCGGGTAGGTTTCTGGGGCAGGGAAAAGGGTGCAGGAATTGCAGGCTGGGGTGGTGCTGCCTGTGCCTCCCACCTGGGCAGGAATCCGGATCAGGCACGGGCGGGAATGCCACACGTGGGAATGTGGGAAGGGGTGAATCCCCCGCTCAGAGGGGGCAGGTTTGAACACTGGCCCTGCCCTGGGGTTACTTAGGGTGGGTTTAGGGGTTGATCACCCCGGAGAAGTGACACAGGAGCACTTTTCCACCTCCTCTCCTGCAGATCCAGTGGGAAATCCCGGCCTGTGAGGCTCTGGCTGCCTGGAGAAGGTCCTTGGGCACCTGGTGAGGTGAGTGGGAAGAGTCACAGCCTTTCCCTCACCTTCCCACTGTCTCCCAAGTCATGGAACCCTCAATTCCTTGGTTGAACTCGAGCTGGCTGGTGGCTCATCCACGACCAGCAGCCTTGGAATGACCCATGGACAGGGAGACTGTGTTGGTGCCATCCAGAGGCAGGGAAAGCCCTCGGGAGGTGGCTGTGACACCTCCCATGTGCCACCTCTGCCTGGGCACCCCCATCCTGCTCCAATCCCCCCTCCCCAGGGGCAGGGGGGAGTGGTCCCATCCAGGACCCATCAGGGTGGGCAGCACCCCTCAAAATGCTCTTCCTGGCATGTCTCCAAGTGGCTCGGGGACCCGCAGGGCCCTTCAGGAGCATCACCATCCCCTGGGCCCGGGGTCGCCCCGGATGGGCCCTGTGATGCTCCGGGGCGAAACCAGGCTGTGGAACCCCCTCAGAACCAGCTGCCAGCCGCGGTGTGGCCCCCTCAGAGCCTCCCGTACCCCCGGGGGGATCGGGGGGTCCCCAGGTCCCCCCGGGCCGGTGTCGAGGCCTCGCCCCGCGCTGGAGGCCCCGGGGCGCCCGTTGCCATGGCAACCGCTGCGGGCCGCGCAGGGGGCGTTGCCAGGTCCCCGCGGTGATTGGTGAACTCCGCCGTCACTCAGGCGCGCCGGCCCCTCTCATTGGCGGAGGTTGGCGCGGGGGCTCACGCGCCGTTGGAGGAAGGTGCTGTCACTCAAGCTGCCCGGGGGGCGGGCCAGAGCTCTTCACGCTCCTCCTCCCTGATTGGCCCTGGCGGCGCCGAGCGCGAGCACCGCCCGCGCGCCCATTGGTCGCCCCGCCTGCCCATCTGGGCGGCACCGCGAGATGGGCGGGAGCAGCGCCCCTCCGGAGCCTCCCCATTGGACGGCCGCTCCCCTCGGCGGGCGCTGATTGGCAGTGCTGCCGCTGCGGGGCGGGGCGGGGCGGGAGGAGGGAGGGAGGGGGGGCGGTTGAAGGCCGGGGCGGGGAGCGGGAGCGGCGGCGGCGGCGGGGCCGGAGTGGAGCCCCCGGCAGGTACTGTGGAGGGGGCAGGTGGGGCGCGGGGGTGCGGTTGGAGCTGCACGGGGGCGGCGGAAGGCGCGGGGAGGGCCGGGGGGGTGTGGCGGGGCGGGGAGGGCGCGGCGCTGAGGGGGAACGAGCGGCCCGGGCCGCGCGCGCGCGCGGGCGGGGTGGGTCACGTGGCACGCGGGGAGCGAGTCACGTGGCGCTCGCGGGGTCTTAAAGGGCCCCCGCGACGCGTTTTGGGGGGGGACTGTGGGGGGGGGCACGTGAGGGGATGTTGGGGACCCCCCTCATTGCTCGGGAACCCCCCCTTCCTCCTTGCTGAGGCACTCCGTGCTCGGGATCCCCTTCCCCGGCGGCTGGAGCCGCTCCCCGGCCGGAGGGGCGGAGAGGTGGGAGCGGGGCGGGCCCCGGGGGGTGTTTTGTATGGAAAACCCCCCTGTGGAGCGGCTTGAAAACTGGGCTTAGAGGAGGGGGAGAGCGAAAAGGGAGCCGGATTCCTTGGGAGAGCGGGAAGTTGACGCGCCGGCCTAAGAATAGCTCGGGGAGGGGAAGCGCTGTCGCCGAAGGTAACTCCGCTCTCCAGGCTGATTCCCGAGGTTTTGCTGGCAGAAGGGCCGGGGGAGCGGGGCCGGGCGCGGGTGGTGCCCGGTGCGTTACCGTGTTTGCTCTCTGGTTACATTTCAGCCGCTGATGAAATCGCAGCCGGGAGCGGAGGAGTCTTTGGACCTTCCCATGGTCGGGACCTTTGACTCATAAAAGGTTCCTTCAAAAAGCTTCGGGAGCAGAAGAGGGGAAGGAAGAGCAGCCGCAGCAGGAGAGGGGCAGAAGGAGCAGAGCCCGACCCGGAGCGTGGGGAATCAGGGGGGGAGAGAGGAAGGCGCTGTATGTGGAGTTTTTGGACAGTAAGTCACATGGATTTTTCTGTCTCTGGGTGCTGAACACAAAGGGAAAGGGGAGGGTGGAGCTGCCGGGGAGAGCTGTTGCTTCCCGAGGTTTTAAATCTTTGATTTCTTCGATTCTTCAACCCCCTCAGCCCCCAGATTTTTAACAGAAAACAAAACCCTCTTGACCCAGAAATCCTTGACCCTTTCTAAACATCGTTGGCCACGCTTTAAACTTTTATTTTGCTTTCCTTGGCGCTGCTCTGAACACCAATCAGCCCTTTTATTTTGCTTGCTTTGAAAGTGGGGCAGAGCAAAGCCAAACCCACCCAACCTGTTGGTGTGGAGGCTTCTCCCGCCGCCGGCAGCTCCTTCTTGTTGTTGTTGTTAATTCCCAAACGTTCCACCTGTTTTTTGTTGTTTTTTTTTTTTTCTTTTTTCCCCTCTTCTCTCTCTCCTCCACCAGAGATGCTTTCTCTGAAGAAATACTTCACCGAAGGCCTCATCCAGTTCACCATCCTGCTCAGCCTAATCGGGGTGCGTGTGGACGTGGACACCTACCTGAACTCCCAGCTCCCTCCTCTGCGGGAGATCATCCTGGGCCAGAGCTCTGCCTACACCCAGACCCAGTTCCACAACCTGAGGAACACCTTGGACGGCTATGGCATCCACCCAAAGAGCGTGGACCTGGACTATTACTTCACCGCCCGCCGGCTGCTCAGCCAGGTGAGGGCCCTGGACCGGCTGCAGGTGCCCAGCACCGAGGTCAGTGCCTGGCTGGTGCACAGGGATCCCGAGGGGTCCGTGTCCGGGGGGCAGCCCAGCGCTGGCCCTGGCCTGCAGGACAGCAGCAGCACTGACAGCGGGGTGAGGGAGAGCGGAGCCGAGCAGGGATTCGGGGAGGAACTCGAGGATTTGGGAGCCGTGGCTGCGCCGGCGAACGGAGACCTCACCAAGGAGGTAGGAGAGAGCTGCTTCGCCCGGGAGGAGTTTGGGGGGGGGGGAACTGGGAAAAGCTGGCATTTTGGGAGCTTTCTGGTGCCCACCCAGCGAGCAGAGCGGGATATTGTGTGTGTTTGGCACTTAGAGAAAGTGTGTCCCTGCTTGGGAATGTCGCAATCCTGGCTCCTGGCTCAGTTTCAGCGCTCCAGGGGTAATTCCAGGGGTAATTCCAGGGGTAATTCCAGGGTGGCTTTTTTTTTTTTTCCTCCACTTTTTTTTTTTTTTTTTTGTTTGTTCAATTCTGGGCTGAAAGGAAGAGTGAAAGGAGGGGAAAGGGGTTTTGGGGGCAGCAGTGCCCTCGTGACTGGGTGTTGGGAAATCGAGCAATCCAGCTGGGGGATAAACAGGAGCGGTTGGGAAAGAGCCCCAGCCCAGGTGTGGAGCAGGTGGTTGGGTTACTTGGCTGGAGCCCGTCCAGGATTTGTGATCCCTGGCTCAGTTTTCCTCCCAGCTGGGTGGGGAGAGGTGACCTGGAAAGGGGTTTATTTCTCCTGCCCAAGCACAACCTTTGGGATGCAGTTCCGGGCTCTGGGAGCTGCTGGTGTGGCTCTGGGGACGCTCCCTTCGTGCGGCGGCTCCGCGGGGTGTGAGGGGGTGTCAGGGCTGATCCATGTCCGTGGCTCTGCCCAGGATCACAGAGGGGGGTCAGTGGTGATCCGTGGCCTCAGGTCCTTCCAGGGTCGGTGTCGATTCCCAGCCTTGGGTCCTTCCAGGATCATAGAGGGGGTCAGTGGTGATTCCCGGCCTCGGGTCCTTCCAGCGTCGCTCTGGCGTCTCCCAAATCGTGTCTGGGCATGGGAAGAGTGGAATTTGAGCCGTGCCAGCCCTGTCCCTGCAGGAGGGGAGGGCAGCTGGAGCTGTTGTCATGTGGCTCCGGCGCAGCAGCAGGCAGGGAATGGGAATGGGGCGTGGGAATGGGTGTGGGAAGGGGCGTGAGCGCCGCAGAGACAAAAGGTGATGCTCGGTTTGGGTTTGGGATTGATGGATGAGCAGCAGGATCCTTCCCTGGGAATGGTGTCCTGCTTGGACCTGCAGGTTTTCTGTGGGTTTTCCCGTGGGGGTCTCCTGGCTCCGGTGGGCTGTGGGATTGAGGGGGACAATCCCACTCTGGGTTGGGAAGTGACCTTGGAGGTGTCAGAGGGTCACAGAGCACAAGGCCAAACCTTCCCACCTCGTGCTGCTTCCCTGGGAACGGAGAGAGGCAATTCCCTGCCTCGGGAATGGCAAAGGATGTGATGAAATGCCTTGTGCAAGGTCACTCCTGGAAGGCTCCGCTGTCCTTCCTGAGGCTGGGATTCCTGGCTGAGGGCCTGGGGAGCCTTCCCAGTGCCAGGTGGGGAATCAGAGCTCAGAGTTTGGGGAGAAACGCTGCAGATTTGGGAGGTGAAGGCTGGTGGCTGCTGTTGTCCAGAGGCCTGTGTGCAGCTGCATCCCAGGACGTGCTGGGAATGAGGCTCCCGGCCGGGCTGGGAATCTCCTGCCGGGAAGGGTGTGGAGATCTGCACTGTGCCTGCTCCGGGGGCTGCAGCATCCCTCTTCTTCCCGGGGGGCTGCTTCCCCCGAAGCCCCTGGATGGACAGGAGGGGAGGGGAGGGGAGGGTGTTGTTGCCAGGGCCCAGCTCCAGGAAATCCCGTCTGGCTCCCACGTCACTCCAGTCACACCATCCCTGTGCCCTCCTCCCCCAGGGCCAGCCAGCCCAACTCGCTGCTGCCACGCTCAAAACCAGCCTTATTTTAGGGTTTTTTTGGGGGGGAATTTTTTTTCCTTCGGTTTTGGTGTCTTTGTCCCCATCCTTGACTCCCTCCCGCAGACCTTTCCAAGGGGAACATCCCGGGAGCTCTGCAGCTCCCTGGGAGGCACCTGCAGGGCCTGGGGCGGGTGGTGATGATCTGCAGATGGCTCCAGGGCCGGCCTTTAAATTTTTCCATGACTTTCCCTGGCACATTGCGACTCCCTGGGCCAGGCACGACCTTGCTGGGGAGTGTGTGGGGGGGAATATGGCTGATATAAATAATTTTGGGAACGCTGTGCAGGGGCTTTTTTTGGGCGTTGCAGTTGCGAAATACGGAATCCAATTATTTTATCCCACAGATTTAAAAAAAAAAAAAAGAAAAGAGAAAAATTAAAAAAAAAAATATTATAAAATGCCAGTTTTGATCCGGGGTGGCCGCCGGGCTTAAAGACAAAGCTGGGATTTAATCCCGGGCGCTTCCCTCTGCAGCATTGGGGGTGGGGAGGGCGGGAGGCTCCGTGCCCGCCCGGGGCCCGTTTCCACAACACCCGGGGATAAAAATACGCGGCCGCGGGACATGTGATGAGCTGCGGGGGCTCAGCCCTGCGCCCCCCCCTCCCCGGCGTGGGGGGGGATCTCCTTACACTTGGCCTTGGCTGCGGGGGGACTGTGCTGTGGTTATTGCTGGGACAGTCTGGGGGGTGGGAGGGTGAAGGGGGTTTTGGGGGAGGTGAGGAGCGCCCGAGGGTCTCACTGGGGGAGTTGGGGGGGGCGACATTGGGGTCGCCCCCTCTGGGTCGGGGTGTCCCGGGGGAAGCAGCCAAGGTGACCCCGCGCTGCGTGCCCGCCCTGCTGCCCTCCCCACGCCCGGGGGGTCCCGGTGCCCCCCACCCCAATTCCTCATTTTTGGGGGGGGTTGGGGTGGTTGGGGGATCTTTGGGGGGGGCGGCCTCGCTGCGCCAGGGCGGGGGCGTGGCCCGGGGGGCGCTGATTGGCTGAACGGGCGGCCCCCGCGGGCGCTGATTGGCTGCGGCCACCGCCCCGGGGGGCGGGGCGGGGCGGAGGGGGCGCGGCCGGCGGCGCCGCATCCCGGCGGGGAGGGGCGGGGCTTGTGCCGGGGTGGGCGGGGCTTGGCGGCCGCCGCAGCCGGGAGCGGGCGGGGGGGGTTTGGGGAGGAGGGGGGAGCCCCTCCCGGTCCCTCCCGAGCCCCTCCCGGCCCCGCCGCAGCTCCAGCAGCAGCATCCGCCGCACCGGGGGCGGGGGGGGCACCTGTGGCCGGCGGGGCGGAGCGGAGCGCGGTTCCCCCCCCCGCCGCTGCCACCGCCGCCGCCGCCCCGGCCGGCGATGCGTGAGCGGCACCGCGCCCCGGCCAACCCGCCCCGCCGCCGCCTCCTCCTCCTCCTTCTCCTCCCCCGGGGACCATGATCGGCGTGCGCCGCGGCCCGGGCGGCAGCTGGGGACATGAGAAAGGTACCGGGGGGGGACACGCGGCGGGGGGGCTGCGGGGACCCCGGGAAGGGTCCGGCGGCGGCGGCGGCGGCTGCTCAAGTTGCATCAGGTGGGTGGGAATGCGGGGATTTTCCTGCCACCCCACCCCTTATGCAAATGGCCGGGATGGCACCACGGGCTGATGCAAGGCGGGCACGGCGCAGCCACCGCCGCGACGCGGGCCCGGGCGGCCCCCGCCGCCTCCCCCGGCGGCGGGCGGGCGGCCATGGGCGGCGGGGAGGGCAGGGCCGGCCATGCGGAGCCCGCAGAGCCGCTCCCGGGATCCCCGCGGGGCACCGGAGCCCCGGCAGGAGCAGCGCGGGGCTCCCCGGGTGGGCTGCGGGCTGGGGTACGGCGGGGGGGGGGGGGGGGGGGGGGGGGGGGGGGGGGGGGGGGGGGGGGGGGGGGGGGGGGGGGGGGGGGGGGGGGGGGGGGGGGGGGGAGGGGGTGGGACCGCTGGGTGGGGACCCCCCAGCGCAGGGGCTGAAGGAAATGTGGTCTGTCTTGCAGGACATCGATTTGATTGACATCCTGTGGAGACAGGATATTGATCTCGGCGCTGGGCGAGAGATTTTTGACTACAGCCACCGGCAGAAAGAGAGCGAAGTGGACAAAGAGCTGAGCGATGGGAGGGAGCGCGGGGACAGCTGGAGGAGTGCAGGGACTGAGGTCTTGGATAGAAACCTGCTAGTTGATGGAGAGACCGGGGAGAGTTTCCCTGCGCAGGTAACGCCCCCGGGCCGGGCGCTGCTTGGGGGCTCCGTGGCGGCCGCCCTGAGCTGCAGCAGCTGGGTTGGCCCAGGTGGGCGTCAGGGTTTGGCGCTGGCGAGGCCAGGGCAGGGCTGGCCGGGTGTCCCCCTGTCCCCAGCAGCCGCAGAGTCCCCTCGGCCCCGTGGCGAGTCCTGGCGTGGCAGGAGGCAGGGGAGGCTCTGTCGCGTTCCCGTTCCCTGGAGCAGCAGGATGGAGCACTGGGTGGGGCCTCTGGCTCTTTTTTGGATGTGCTGTAATAAAGCCCTGCTGGAAGGAGCTGGTTCCCTCAGCACCACCTCCACCGAATCCCGAGGCTACGATTCCTTGTGTTTCCTTCCCCCCCAGGTGCCCGGTGCGGAGGATCAGACAGCCCTGTCCGTGGAGGAGTGCCTTAGGCTGCTGGAGGCCACCTTGCCTTTCGGGGAGAGCTCGGAGGTGAGCAGATGGGGCGGATCCAGGGGCTCTCCCTGCCTCGCTCACCGGGATTTCGGTGCCTCCCGCATCTTTCCCGCAGCAAACCGGGTCTGGCTGCTCAGGAGGCTCCTTGAAACCACCCGAGGAAAGGGTGGGCCACCGTTAATTAAAGCCTCCTGGCTTTGTTGCTCGTCAGTCCCCAGCGAGGCAGGGAGGCAGGGAGGCAGGGGCAGACCGTGGCTGGGAGCAGAGGGGAGGGTGCTGGGCTGGGGTGGCTGCAGTGCCGAGGCTCCAGCCCTGACTCCCCTCACGTGGTCAGTTCCCAGCCGCGGATGTCTCCGCCCTGAGCGAAGCCGTGCCCGGGCAGAGCCGGGCCCCCCCCACCCTGCTGTCCCCCCTCCTGGCCGAGAACGAGTCGCCCTTCGACCTGGAGCAGCAGTGGCAGGACCTCATGTCCATCATGGAGATGCAGGTGAGCCCCGGGAGGGGGACGGGAAGGGGTTCGTCCCTGCAGGTGCTCCGTGAGTTTGGGTGTGGTGACACCGTGGTGGCACCGTGGTGGCCCATCCGCCGAGTCCTGGCCTCGCTGCAGCGGGATGGGACGAGCCCCTCGCTCCCAGCCCGGCCCGCCGTCCTTCACCGCACTGCCTGCGCGTCTCTTCCAGGCGATGGAAGTGAACTCCACGACGGGCGAGAGCCTGTTCGGCGGCACCGGCGGAGACCTCCTGGCGTCCAACTACAGCCTGGCCCCCGGCACCCCCATCAACCAGAACGTCAGCCTGCATCAGGCCTCGCTGGGCAGCTGCTCCCAGGACTTCTCACTCTTCAGCTCCGAGATCGAGAGCCCCTCCATGGCGGGCGGCTCGGCCCTGCTCCAGCTGGCGCCGGACAACTCCACCGGCCTCAACAGCACCTTCGGCTCCACCAACCTGAGCGGGATCTTCTTCCCGCCCCACATGAACAGCACGGGCAACGAGACGGCCGGGCCCGAGCTGCCCGACCCGCTGGGAGGGCTCCTGGACGAGGCCATGCTGGATGAGATCAGCCTCATGGACCTGGCCATCGAGGAGGGCTTCAACCCCGTGCAGGCCTCGCAGCTGGAAGAGGAGTTCGACTCCGACTCAGGTCTTTCCCTGGATTCTGGCCACAGCCCCGCTTCTCTGAGCAGCTCGGAAGCCTCATCCTCCTCGTCCTCTTCCTCCTCCTCCTCGTCCTCCTCCTCGTTTTCCGAGGAAGGGGCCGTGGGCTACAGCTCCGACTCGGAGAACGTGGACTTCGAGGAGGCGGAAGGGGCGGTGGGATACCAGCCGGAGTACAGCAAGTTCTGCCGCATGAGCTACCAGGACCCGGCCCAGCTCCATTACCTGCCTTACCTGGAGCACGTTGGCCACAACCACACCTACAACATGGCCCCGGGGGCCCTGGATCCCGAGGAGCCCAAAGTCCCCAGCGCCGGCAAGAAGAGCGGCGGCCCCAAGGAGAAACCGTCCGAGTTCCTGGACAAGCAGATGAGCAGGGACGAGCACCGAGCCAGGGCCATGAAGATCCCCTTCACCAACGACAAGATCATCAACCTGCCCGTGGAGGAGTTCAACGAGCTCCTGTCCAAGTACCAGCTCAGCGAGGCCCAGCTCAGCCTCATCCGCGACATCCGCCGGCGCGGCAAGAACAAGATGGCGGCGCAGAACTGCCGCAAGAGGAAGCTGGACACCATCCTCAACCTGGAACGGGACGTCGAGGACCTGCAGCGCGACAAGTCCAAACTGCTCAGGGAGAAGGTGGAGTTCCTCAAGTCCATCCGGCAGATGAAGCAGAAGGTGCAGAGCCTGTACCAGGAGGTGTTCGGGCGGCTGCGGGACGAGCAGGGGCGGCCCTACTCGCCCAGCCAGTACGCGCTGCAGTACGGCAGCGACGGCTCCGTCCTGCTCATCCCCCGCGGCCCCGCCGAGCCGCAGCCCCGGCGCCAGGACCGCAAGCAGAAGGACCGCAGGAAGTGAGGGCGGCAGGGAGAGCAGGAGCGGGACACTCGCCACGAGGGAGAGAACTGGAGAAGGGCCGAGCCTGGAAGTAACTTTTAGAGGAACTTTCACGCCTTCTTATCCGATATATCTTCTCAACCACGCGCGGGGGGGATCTGGCGCTGCCGGACGCTGCGGGGGCCGCGGGGGGCCGAGGTTTTTGGGGGGTTTGTTGGAGGGACGGAGCCCCCCCCCCCCCCCCACGCTGCCCAGCCCGGAGCCTCCCACAACCCGGGATCCTTGGAGCGCAGGGACGAGCTGGCAACGCTGCTGGGGAGGTTGGCAGAGGTGGAAAAAAAACAAAAAAACAAAAAAACAAAACTACTGTTAGGAACTGGCTTTAAAATAAGAAAAGAAATTTAAGCGGATGAACTTAAACCACGAAACAAGTTATAGGAGAGACGTTTTTCTGAACTTCCAAAGTTCTGTGATTTCAGGTAGTTGGATTTTTGTTTTGTTTTTCTCTTCCTCCTTTATTTTTTTTTGTTTCTGTTTTTTTTTTTTTCCTTTCCTTTTCCTGATCCCGTTTTGCCATCGGTGTGTGTGATTCAATCCGACTCAATTCCAGATTAACCAACATCCCTTTCCTAGATCAGACCAGTGCACACGTGGAAACACAACGTGGTGTGAATTCCATTAACCCTTTCCAGCCCTGAGGGAGCTCAGAGCAGGTGGAAACACCGTTCCCAGTGGGGAGGAGTTGTGATGTGATGCCTCGGGGAGGCAGAGAGCTTTAGGATTTTGCGAGAGGGACTGGAGAGGGTTAAGGGATCCAGCAGGATCCGTGTCCCCAGCACCCTCGGAGCACGCAGAGCCTGCATGCCAAGCCTGGCTTCTCCCACTGACCGCCTGGGGAACTGCTTGGGGAGGAATTTGGGGGGGCTCCAGGGCCCCCCTGGGTCAGCCAACAGCACAAGGGGAGCGGTGGGATCCCGATCCCGACCCCCCCCAGGCCGTGGGTTGTCACTTAGAGCCTTAGACAGCTGTAGGTCCCTGTCCCGTAACCGCGCTTGGGTTTTCTGGGGCTTCAGCCCCCACCCCCCCCACTTTTTTTCCCCCCCCTTTAGGGTCTAGAAGTGCTTGTGTTGAGTAAAAAAAACCGAAAACAAAAGGGAGAAGCCCAAACGTTCAAAGCTGCTCAGTGTTCTCTTTGCCATACAGACTCCGTGTAACCGTGTGATCACATTATAGGATTCTCTTCTGTCCCGAGGTGTTGGTCTGACTTCCTTTGTTTTCAGGAGGGGGGTGGGGGTAGTGCCTTGATCACTGTCGGTCTCCGCAGGGAGACCATCCTAGAAGCTGTATTTCCATATAGCACAGCTGGGAGTGTTCTGACTTTACCAGCAACAGAAACAAACAAACAAACAAACAAAAAATGCTTAAAAAAAAAAATTAAAAAAAAAAAAATGGCTTTTCCGAGCCAGTCCTGTGCACGGGATCCAGGGGAGAGGGCGGACTCGGGTGGTCACTCAAGGGAAGGACACCTGGAGAGGCAGGACGGAGGCCTGGAGCAGCTGCCCACTGGACTGTGCTGTGTCCACGGGCACTTTCTCCGGGTTTTGGGAGAAGCAGTTGGACCTGGGAGTGCACTGAGGGGTGGTTGGGACCCGCCCAGACCCCGGTGGGCTCGTCCATCCCCGATTCCCGGGATCCTGGTGTGTGAGACGAAGCACAAGTGGTGGAGCTGTGGGTGTGGGGAGGTTGGAAGGGAGCCCTGTGCGTATGTTTTAAATTATTTTTCCTCTTAGAAACTTTTCTTTGAATGATCTGTGACCTGTCAGGGAAAGAAGAGAGATTGTGTGAGCACAGGACAAAAATAAAAACGGCTTATTCACTGTACCACCCTCGGCTCCAGGGCTTTTTATTGCATATTTGGATGATTAAACATGGCAGGGAAACCAAGCAGGGACCTTCTTTTCCCCCACAGTAGCTCCTGGCTCCAGTTCCAGCAGTGGGTTGGGAGGAGGGAGTCGCTGTCGTCCTGCAGGGGATGGATGGAAGGAGAAGGAAAAGGGAAAAGCTCCTCCTCTGTGGGAAACAGCCAGCTCTGCCTCAGCTGCTTCCTTCCTTCCTTCCCAGCAGGGTCTTCCCACAGAAATCCAGGGAAAAGCGTGCTCCTGGTTAATCCTGCAGCTGCTGTGGAGCAAGTGGGGGGTCCCCGGGTCGAGGTGCTGCAGGTCCAGGGCCGAGTCCAATCCCTGTCCTTGGAATTTGGGTTCCCAGGACACGGTGTCCTGTTCTCCCGTGGGGCTCTGCAGCTCCAGGGGCTGCTCCACACATCCCACCTTCCCTGCAGGTCTGGGATGCAGCATCGGAGACTGAGCCAAAATTCATCCAATCCTGAGGGTGTTTGTAATCCCAGATCCTGCCCCATCCCTCTCCCTGTGGGATAAATCCCAGCCAGGAGCGAGGACACCAAACCCTCCATCTCAGAAATGTTTCCAGCTCCTCAATCCTGCAGAGGAGCCCCTGGAGGGGCATTTTGGGTGGTGCTGGGGGTCCCTCCAGGAGCATCTCCATGTACTCTGTCCTTGCAGATCCCTTTCTCCAGGGGTTTTCATCCAGCCAAAATCACACTTCCAGCCCCACTCTGCTCCCCAGCAATCTCCCAGTGCTGTTCCCGTGGGCCTGATGTCCTTTTGCTGCGGATCAAACCTCTCCATGTGGGACTGGAAGGATCCATCTCCTCCCGGAGCTGGTTGAATCTGGGCCAGCTCAGCCAAGGGGGATGTGGAGCATTAAATCCACACTCTGAGGTGCTTCCCCTCCCTCTTCCTGGGCTCCAGGGGATTTATTCCAGACATTCCTTCGGGGGCTGCATTAGGATGTAATCCCAGCTGGCAGCAAAACCCTCAGGGATTCCCCCACCCCCTGATGGTGTGAGGGGGTCCCAACCCTTCTGAGGGGGATGGAGAGGGGGGGTTTGGGAAGGATCCTCTGCTGTTCCCAGGCCCTGCCTCCGCTCCTGTGCCCACACAGGCCATTCCCTGGGCACAAACAGCCCAGCAAATCCACGGGGAGGCTCCCGAGGGTGTCCCAGCCCTCCCAGGCTGGCAGAGGCCGCTCTGGCTCCCGGCCCGTGCCCAGCCCAGCGCGGGGAGCTGGGCCAGGTCCCTCCCTCCCAGCTCGGGCCCTGCCAGCCCACACTCAGCTGAAGCTCAGCCCTTTCATTGCCAGGCAGGAATCCCTCTGCTCCCAGCGGGGCCTGGGAGCTCTGAGCCCGCTCAGAGCCCTCTGATCCAGACTCCAGCTGAGCCCTCAGCCCAGGCTTTGTGGGGACACCCAGGGGCTCCCCTGCCCTTCCCTGCCCTGCTCCAGCTCCAGCTCCAGCTCCAGCTCCAACCTGGAGCACCAACCCCGGGGAGAACCCTCACAGCTCTCCCCCAGTCACGAGGGGCTGTTTCCCTGTGCCTCAGTTTCCCAGGAGGTGCCCCAGCAGGGCCCCAAAATCCTGCAGCTCACACCAGAGCCCTCCCAGCCCCCAGCACGGAGCAACCACAGATTCCAGCGACCTGGATCGATCTCCCGGAGCTCCCCCGGGACCTGCAGCCTCTGATGCTCAATTAAGTGGACGTTACCCTGGCCCTCTCTGCTGATTAATCCAGGTTTAATTGCTGCTGCTGCTGGGCCAGAGCAGCATCTCCTTGTCCTGCTGGGTACAGGCTGTGCTGGCACAAATAACCTGGATTTCAACTGGCTCCCTCAGGAGTCCCGCAGCCCCTGTTCCACCCAAAACCTTCCTGCTCCATCCAGCACCCCTGGAAACACCAGAACCTCCGAGCCAGGAACCATCACCATCCACTCCAGAACCCAGCACTGACTCTGCTCTTCATGCCCAGGAGCTCAGGGCCTTCAGCACATCCACACCAGGGGTGAGAGGAGCCAAACCATCTCCTGTCAAACCATCTCCTGCCAAACCATCTCCTGCCAAACGCTCACCAGGACCTCTGCCAGAGCCCTAAAAACCCCACCAAAACCACCCTGTCTGCTCCAGGTTTGGATGAGAAGGGAATTAAAGGCCACTTACACACCTCT